TGCAGGCAACGTGTTCAACTAGCACACAACTTCAGGTTTTTTATTTCTATACGATAATTCTGCATTATTAAGCAATAACAACAAGTAGTCTGATGTTGTCTAATCATTATGAAGCCCTGTTATTACAATTTCATAATACTATTATATACTGTATTATGAAATACAATGAAACAATAAGTTTTTGTACAGAATTTTACTTGGTATTGGATCGGAAAGGAAATCAGTGGAATCGCACATCACTAATGGTTGTGCTGACAAATTCCAGTAGATTAGCCATCTTTGGAAAACTCCAGCCCGTCCGAACAACCATGACATAGTCAAACTTCCTTAAATCGCCTTTCTTTCTCATTCAAATGTGTGGTTAGAACTTCATAAGATTGTGTTGACATAGAGATTGTGTCCGTGTGCCTGTGATTAGCTGATTAGATATTTGTGTTACAAACACAGGGCTCTAGAGTGCGACCAATTTGGTCGCAAATGCGACCAAATTTTTCAGTGGTGCGACTAAAAAAATAGTTGGTTGCACCTGTGCGACCAACTGTTTGGGTAGCAAAAAAAAAAAAAAAATCTGCAACCTTCCCTGTGGTCAACAACAGACACACATTTTGCCCCTATCGTGGACTAAACCAATCAGAGATAGTAAGGGGCGGGACCTCTCTGATTGGCCGTGGTCCAGTTGAAAGTGCAGGTGGAAGTGGGAGGTGAGTAGCTTGAATAAAGCGATATCAATTCATTAAATCCTGAATCGACTTTTAAATATAACTGTGTTTTGCCAGAAACGCCAGATTCTCAGATTAAAGCTCACAAAACCATTTCAACAACAACCAAACAGCAGAATGAGAGCAGGTACACGGACTCCACACAAAGACGTAAACACAGAGCCGACGCATCAGAATCAGCTTTGTCTTTCTCGGCTTTCTCACCCGACGGCCCGAGACGGACACGCTGTCGGAGCTTAGCGATCCTGATGCGTCCGGTCCGCGCTGTGATTACGTCTTTTTGCGCTGATTCTGAGCTGCAGGTTTTGTCTCTCCAACCAAAATTCACGAGCCAGCAGCAAAAGAAGCAGCAAACTGCGCTTCACATTTGATCAATGTCGTCATGAATTTTGCTGTTTTGCTTCCACGACTATTAAAATCACACCATGCACAGCTAGCTCTCTCTCTCTCTCTCTGTACTTCAAGAACAGTTTCCGTCTCCAATCTCTGTTTTCTGTATTATTCATTGGCTTATTACCCACCAGTCTACCGTTGTTTACAGCGCTGTGGCTGCTGTCTTTGTTTCTTTTTCACTTAAATGACCTCGGACAAGAAAGCCTGTTTTTTCTGTTGTTCAATACTGAAGAAATTTAAACTTTATATGCAGAACATTGTAGAATATTTTTAAGGTTATCTGCTATAAAAAGCCAGACCAGGAAAATCTCCTTCATGTTTTTCTGTTTTATTCTCAGTTACTTTCACACAAAGGCATCTGCTGTGATGTTCACAATTCTGATGAAGTCAGTACTGATAAATGATCAGAGTTATAATATTTCTGACTGTCTGAGGCTAAGTTGAATCGAATCGGGACTTTGAAAACCGGAATCGAATGGATTATAGAAATCAGTGATGATACCCAGCCCTAGTGAGCAGCCTAGGCACGACAGAAGTGGATGTAGCTGTAATAGGAAAAGAACTATTGCTAACTTTTCTGTTAAGAGCCTGATCCTTCTGAAATTCATAGCCAGTGCTCTGACACGGTGTCATCAATCTTTGAATGCTGAAAAAGCACAGTGTATCCAGAAAAACACATTATATTATATAAATTATTATAAAATTTGTGTGCGCCTAACTTTTGTGCCGGTACGCCTAACTTTTTAAAGTTAGGCGTGCCGGTACGCCCATGGCAAAAAGTTAGTCTAGAGCCCTGAAACAGGTCAATGGGTATACCTAAAAGTTATAGGAAGCTCACTCTTGCTTTATTACACTGAAGACAGTTGACAACTGACATTTGTGGCTGCTGTCATGGTTATAACAAATATATTCTCATCAATTACTGCAGGTGATTGTAATGGGAGCAGAACAGAACGGCTTGCCAAAAGACTACCAGGAGAAACTTCGAGCAATCAAGACCAACATGTATGAGGGTCCCCTACCCATGATGGCTGAACTGGAGCGAGCCAGACGAAGAGCCAAAGAAAAGGTCAACCATCGTTCTAATGATGCCTGATTATCCAATGTAAACCAGGTCCACTTTTTACCTTAGCAAATACTTTATTGGTTATAACACTGTATTTAAGCATGTTGTGCCTTAGTTAGCTGCTTCACCTAATGGTTAACCTTAATTATAGGAGCATAGTTTATGATTCTACTATGCTCCATTGTCAGCCACAGGTACAATAGAATATTAATGACTTTGTCGTCTAATTTGGATTTAATGAAAACTTACAATATTCCTTAAGAAACAATATTACATTTATTTATTTTATGTAAACAGTTTTACCTTCATGTGTTATGGTGAAGATATATTTCAGTACAAAAAGTCCAGAGACTAAGGAATAATTCTATAGTTGGAGAAGTGTTTAAGAAAATGGGTGGATGACAGTCTGTCTTCAAACGGATACATATGGAATTACACAGAAACATTCGTCTCATATTTCACATTCTTCATACTCAGTGAGATAGGTGTTGGTGTTGTGGGAAACATTGTGCCAGGTGCTGCCTGAGATTGTGTGTAGATATCCGACTGTGTTACCAGGAAAGCTGCCTTTCTGACATTATATTGAGATGTGTTATTATCAAATTATTTTTGAAGCATTTGACCACAATCTTTTCTACCAAATATATTCTATATATAAAAGAAAAGGAAAGAACTTTGAGTAAAGTGTATGTTTAGTACATATTTTATCTCTCGTGGTATTTATATATTTCTTACTATAGAATAAAGGATGAAGGAAAAATTATTTATCAAAAAATTCATGAAAATTGATTTTTTTTAAATGAACTCTTTTATGAGTAAATTATAGTGCAAAACAGTTACACACACACACACGCAACACACACGAACACACCAACAACACGATACACCAAACCCACACACGGAAACCCACAACAACAGACTAGAGCTGCAGAAAGGTGCACAAAGAAGGTGCCTAAGAAGTACAGCAAGCTGTCCATACCTGAGATGCCGACGCACACAACACGCACGAGGCAACAGATGGAACGTGAATTTTCTGCGCTCACGCACAATGAAACGAGGCATCAACACACACGCAACACACACACGTCTACACGGCCGATTCGAGTGTGGTCACTAACCCGCATCACACACACACACACACACAGAAACTAGAGCTGCAGAAAGGTGCAACAAAGAAGGTGCCTAAGAAGTACAGCAAGCTGCCCATACCTGAGATGCCGGAAACTGCCAAGCAAAAACTCAAAGCCTTGGCCAGCTGTTTGAAGAGGTACACCAGAGAGATCGAAGGCAGGAGAATAAACCAGCTGTTCTCCACAACCAGCCAAGGTGTACTCTCAGTAGCAGGGGAACAATATGAGAACAGCACCACCAAGGCTGGAGACAGAGTAATACTGGAAGAGAATATGGGAGAAGCATGCAACCCATAACAGCATTGCTCAGTGGCTAGTGGGTCTGAGGGCAGACCACAGCAAGCTCCCTGAACAGGGACCAGTAACCATCACAGTAGAAGACAATAAAGGGTCTCCAGTATGAAGAGTTGGACAGCACCAGCCCCCAACATGATTCATGCCTCATGGACTGTACTCCATGAGCATCTAGAAGCACAACTGAACCAGCTGCTAGTTGACGAGGGACACCTGGAATGGCTAACTGAAGGCCAGAGCGTCCTGATCCTCAAGGACCCCCAGAAGGGACCAGTCCCATCCAACTACTGGCCTATAACCTGCCTCAGTACCATGTGGAAGCTCCTTTCAGGCATCATAGCGGCTAAGATCATTAGGCACATGACTCAATACATGAGTGGGGCACAGAAAGGAATTAGCAAGAATACCAGTGGAGCAAAACACCAGCTACTGGTAGGAAGAGCAGTCAGCCGAGACTGCAAGACCAGGCTGACCAACCTGTGCACTGCCTGGATTGATTACAAGAAGGCCTATGACGCAATGCCCCACAGCTGGATACTGGAATGCCTAGAATTGTACAAGATCAATGGGACCCTAAGAGCCTTCATCAAGAACTCAATGGGGATGTGGCGTACAACACTAGAGGCCAACTCCAAGCCCATAGCACAGGTCACCATCAAGTGTGGGATCTACCAAGGAGATGCTCTGTCCCCACTGCTGTTCTGCATAGGCCTGAACCCCCTCAGTGAGATCATTAACAAGAGTCCCTAGTCCAGGACTTCTTAGACCAGGAAACTCCTTACCATGCATGGAGGGTTTCACCCCAAGTCCAGCACCCTGAGGCTGTACGCTAAGCGGAAAGAAGAAGGCAGAGGACTAGTGAGCATCAGCACCACTGTCCAGGATGAGACAGGGAACATCCACAAATACATCAGGAAGATCATCCCAACCAAACGTGTGCTCAGTGAATACATCAGGCAGCAGAAACCCAAGAAAGAGGAGCAAGAGGAGGAAGTATCATGGAAGGAAAGGCCCCTGCACAGTATGTACCACCGGCAGATAGAGGAGGTGGCTGATATCCAGAAATCCTACCAGTGGCTGGACAAAGCTGGACTGAAAGACAGCACAGAGGCACTAATCATGGCAGCACAAGAACAAGCACTGAGCACAAGATCCATAGAGGCTGGGGTCTATCACACCAGGCAAGACCCCAGGTGCAGGCTGTGTAAAGATGCCCCAGAGACAATCCAGCACATAACAGCAGGGTGCAAGATGCTAGCAGGCAAGGCATACATGGAACGCCATAACCAAGTGGCCGGCATAGTGTACAGGAACATCTGTGCCGAGTATAACCTGGAAGTCCCGAGGTCAAAATGGGAGACGCCCCAAAAGGAGGCAGAGAATGACCGAGCTAAGATCCTGTGGGATTTCCAGATACAGACGGACAAAATGGTGGTGGCTAACCAACCGGACATAGTGGTGGTAGACAAACAGAATGTCAGGGTTGGACGGTTCCCCGACCGGTCGACCTGCCTGTGTTTGTGTGTTTTCCTCTCTCTTTCATTTTCCTCTCCGGCTCCGTGGCAATTGTTTACGGAGGTCGCATGGCAATGAGTGACGTCCGACCCGGGTGTGCTGCCGCTCTGGAGCCGCCACACCTGCAACTGATCCAGCCAACAGCTGCCTTTAATCATCCACCATCTTAGGCAGAGCTATTTCATGGTGTGGCCGAACGACAGTCAGCGCTGGAGTATTGCACTAAGCCTGGTAGTATTCCCTGACCGTTTGCGTAGTTAAGTGTTGCCTGCCAGACAAGTGATTAACTGTTTGCTGTTCTGTGTGCAACTAGGAACAGGGATGGAGGAGAATCACAAGCATGGGAGTCTACCTGGAGGAGGAAGGAAAATTCACTGCCACGCACTGTTTGAGCACGGGAAGGGGGACACAACTGACTACTTTGCACATTGAACTGTTGTTAACCTTTTACCACTGTAAATAAACACACTGCCTTGCATTCAGAGCTCCATGCCTGGTTCCTCTCTTTCTCCAACTGTGAAGAAGACAGCGATAGATGTAGCGGTTCTGAATGACAGCAACATCAGGAAGAAGGAACACCAGAAACCTGAGAAATACCAAGGGCTCAGAGAAGAGTTGGAGAACATGTGGAGGGTGAAGGTAACAGTGGTCCCGGTGGTAATCAAAGCACTATGTGCTCAGCAGATCCCAGGAACAACATCGGAGATCTCTGTCCAGAAGAGCACAGACCTGGGAACTAAGATACTGCGCAGGACTCGCAAGCTCCCAGGCCTCTGGTAGAGGACCCCAGCTTGGAGGATAGAACGCCTGCAGGGGTGGGAGGGGAATTTTATATATTTTATATATTTTCCAAACATGGTTTTCACAGTTTCAGTTATTCCTTACAAATTATTAGTATTCCTATGTGGATGCAGCCTTAGCTCATGGGAGGAGTTCATTAAGGTCATGGAAGAAGCCTTTTGGTCAGCCTCGAGGCGATTCCAGCAAACCATCAGGCTCTCAGTGTGGGTTGCTGACTTCAACCAAGGATATAGTTGGTTGGTGTTAAGACTACTTTTCTCAGTCCCACTGACATGCCTTCTATTGAAGAAAAATAGTCTGGGGACGAGACAGACAACTTCCGGATCAATGGGTCCAAGGTGAGTAAGGTAGTTAAATAACTCCTTAGTGGTAGGGCCCCAGGTGATTTGCCTTGAGTTACTATAGGTATATCTTGGTTGACACACCTCTGCAACATCACTTGGAGATCCAGGGCAGTCCCTCTGGATTGGCAGACAGGGGTGGTGGTTACTTGGGTGATTCAATTACAGTGGGATCACACTACTCAGCCTCCCTAGGAAGAAAAGTCTATGCCAGGGTACTGGAGACAAGAGTTTGTCCATAATTCGAACCTCGGATTCAGTGATTGTCATCCTGGTCATAGACCGCTAAACCAGATCTTTATCCTAATGAGGAAATTCAAGTTTGAATGGGGGTTACAGTCTACATGTGTTTTATGGGATTTGACCGCATCCCTCGAGACATTGTATGGAAGGTGCTTTGGGAGTATGGGGCATCTAGCTCATTATCAAAGGCCATTTGGTCCTTGTGCAACTGCAGCAAGAGCTTGGTCTGTCTTGCTGACAATAGACTCATTCCCAGCAGGTGTTGGGATTATGATTATGTTCATAATTTTTTAAACAAAATTTCTAGGCAGTCTTAAGTAGCAAAAGGCCTCCCCTCTGGTTGTCTCAGGATCTCATCTCTATTTTTTGTGGTTCTGTTGGCTTCATCAGGTGGTGGCATCCAGATTGTACATCAACAGTTTGCGGCCCAATGTGAAGCAATGGGAATACCAGTTAGCACTTTCAAGTGTGGGGCTTGAAAGTTCTTAGCAAGAATAGATTAGAGAGCCTTCTTGGGGTTAGGGACAAGTTGTTGCCCCAAATGGAGGAATTCAAGTATCTGGGGGTCAAAAGTGAAGAGAAAGGAGAGCGGGGGAGTGACAAATAGATTGGAGCCATGTCTGCAGTGATGCATATGCTTTACTGGTCTCTTGTGGTAAAGAGAGATCTGAATATAAATATGCTATGGTGTTGATTTTACTAGTTGATAATGACGTCTACTGCCTGGCCATCCTGGCCCAATCCCCAGAGCTGGGTTTGCCATTCCCCACCTGCCGTGGCCACCTGCAAGCCATCAAACAGCAAACAGCTGTCCAGTACTTAAGATGTGCGTTGGCTTCCACACTCTGCTAGACCGTCCACTACCCCATGATGGTAACTTGGCTCTTGCACACTTAAATTTTAGAAATTTTCTTTCATATAACCTGTCTCCTTGTGTTTTTCTTTACCTCTGACCAGAATCATTACCCACCACACCTGCAGCTGATTCTCGTGTTCATCTCTCCTCTCACCTGAAAAAGCTCATGGACTAGCTACTCCGACAGCGTTCACAGAAATTCACTCTGCCTGCCACTCACCTCTGGATCATGCAAATTGGCTGGATTGCCTCACTCTCACCCTGTTGGACACTCACACCAGTTCCTCCCTCCCTCCGGACCCCAGTCTCTCATCTAACCAGTAACCTGTAATTTCTTCATTCTAATCATTACCTGGCAATTCCTCCTACTCCCTCACTAATCCCTCTCTCCCTTTGCTTCTAGTGACTGCAACATCTAAGACCCTCACCTCTGTCTCCTACCCCCCAAAGTTCTCCTTCTTTTTTCCTTGTGATTAAATAAACTTAAGTTCACTGTATCTCACTAGTCAATTGAGTTTGCTTTTGGGTTCAGCCCTCGTACCAGCCTAGTGGCCCCTGACAGATAAACATCCCTACCCTCGCCTGGCTAGTGACCTAAAGTATGCGATTGCAAATACAAGCGGTGAACATTTTGTTGTCTCCAGAATGTGGCTCAGTGCTCCTTTAGATATAGTTTAAGAAATTCAGTCATTTAGGAGGGAACTAGACTAAAGCCGCTACTCCTCCACATTAAACTGAACCAATTGAGGTGGTCTGGGCATCTGACTAGGATACCTCCTGGCCACCTCCTGAGCGAGGTGTTCTGGGCATACTGCAAAGCTATAGGGTATTGAAGTATGGCACTGTGAACCCCTTGAGCCTGCTGTACCACCCCTCCCTTGAAGTTGAGCCATGGACCACACTGCCACCACAGGCACCTTTCTTTGATCACAAGTGCCATAGCTGTGTGCAGGCAGGCAGGATGATAGACCCAAACGCAGGCCTCGTGGAGACAAACGTGAACTCAAAAACCTCAGCTTTATTTGTTGGCAATTACTAAACAGAAAACTAAACTGGTGAAACATGTCAGTTTCTAGCTTCACCACACGGGCAATTATGAGGTTACGACGCGACATAGGGCAAGGAAAACACAGGGCTAAAAACACAGTAACCAGGGAATGGGAGACAGGAGGGAGACACAGCTGGGAGAAATCAGACTAAACTAGACAAGGGAAGCAAACCTAGAAGCACTGACATGAGACACGCACTTTTAAAGTAAATCAGAAAACACATCGACTTAACTCAAGATACGTAAACTTAACAGAGACCGGGGGAGACAGAACATAGGAACCTGAAACGTGGGATAGGAGGGCACAGAGTAGACAACACAGAACACAGGGAAGCCACATAACAAAACCTAAGAACTAGTAATCACATAATAAAGAATTAGAGAGCTAGAAATACTGAGAAATAAACCTAAATACTAGTAGTGATAACAGTGATAAAAATAATCAATGATCAAAAAAACAGAACAAAACTGGGTCCCAGGACCGTGACAACAAGCTTGTAGAGAATAGCCTGCCAAAGGCAAGCCTCTAAGTAACGAATTTGAGGATTTTTTTAAATAATGTTAAATGATTTCTACAAAACATGAAGTGTGCCAGAGCTGAAGAGGTGTCTATAATATCACCTCTTCTTCAGATAACAAGGCTAGGAGAATCCGATGTCCTCCGAGTCCAAGTGAATCTCAGGTCAGTTCTCTCAATCTAAATTTGTAATTTATTTGTAATTATGACTTATTTCAATTGTATGAAAGATTAAAATGGAGTGCTGGTTTAGCTCAGTGGGTGAGCTATATGCCGTATGGCAGGACAGCATCTGGCCTGGGCCAAACCCGGGCTGTGTGTCCTCACCTCTCTCTCTAAGCTTTACTGTCTATCGTCACTGCATCTGTCCCAAAAAAGGCTAAAAGCCAAAAAAGTAATCTTTTTTTTTTTTAAGTAAGCATAAACACTTACGAGTGTTTCATTAAACTTCAGCTTTTTCTCCTCAACTTCCAGTCTTATAGAAATCTGTTTGCAGGAAGAATATTCTACTTTAAATCAATCAGTAATCAACTAAGGACACTGACAGAGTTTGAATTCATTTGAATACCTGACTTAGTCTTTTATTTGTTGTTATCGATTGTCTGTTTGGCTCTTACTCATAGTGTCTATAATTATTTTATCTGAAGTGAGAACTAAATCAGATTTTTTAAAAGTCTGGGAAATGAGGTAGAAACTCAGAGTAAGGGCCAAGCATATGATAGATAACAACAAATAAAACAGTTCTTTGTTTATTGTTTGTTTAAAGGACTTCCTGTCTGTGATGCAGTGTGCATTTCTTCTCCACCCCTTATCTATTCTCCACTGTAGCATGTCATTAAAGTTTTGCCTTCTCCCTTAGTCACTTTTTTGTTCTGTCTCCTCATGCTCGCTTTTTACTTTTTTATTTTCGTCTTTTCTCGTTCATCTGACCCCCAACAAGTCACAGCAGCCCCTCTCCAAGCCTTGGGGTCACAGAAAACTGGGAGCTATCTCATATTTATATGGGGAGATAACCTCACATCTGGTGTGGCCTGAGATTCCCAGAGAGGTAGAGGCTAAGACCCAACCTGACACATAAACATAGACAAACAGGCAAACACAGACACAAACATGCATTCCCACCCTCATGCACATATATACATATACTCAGCACTCGCTCAACATGGAGACAAACAGAAATGAACACTGTACATACACTCACACTCCCCAAATATACTCTATATACCCAGGTCTAGGAACCATCACCCTCATTTTCTCGGGAGAGCACATGCTTAAGGACACAGACAATAGGGATGACATCAGATGCAGATGAGGATGATGCGCTTACCTCCTTGTGTGGGAAGCATTCCAAACTTGCAACACCTAGCTGGTCCATTGCCTTTTTTACATTGCTGGCATTGTCTCGCAAAACAACGTGGACTTTATTCTTCGGAATTTTCCACGCATTTAACATTTCCTCCATAGCTGCAGCGATGGACTCTCCTGTGTGTGAACCACGAAACTCTTTGGCCTGCAGCACTGTTTTTTGCATTGTAAAACTCAAGTCTATCCAGTGTACAGTCAGGCTTAGCAGGGACAACGGACAAACGTCCGAGCTCCAGATATCAGTTGTGTCATGGTCTGGGTGAGCAGCTGGGATTTTCCATCAGTGCCAGAGCACCCTTGGCTCCGCCCGTGGGCAGGACTTTCTCAGCTTCACGCATCTGGAGCTAATTGGGGCAATCAGGCCAAAGAGGGATTTAAGCTCTGCGCTGTCATCTCCTCCCTGCCAGTTCGGTAGCTATCTGATGTTGGTAACTGGCTTGTTTGACTCATGCTGTTTGTTGTGCTTCAGGACCTATTCTCCAGTGTTGACTGCTGCTCACCACTTGGATCTCAGCTCCTTTCCACCTCACTGGGAAATATCTCCAAACCTCACCTGCCTGCCCTTCTGCTCACTCATCACTTTGGATCCAACGAACCCCAGGTCAGCCGTTTCACCTCCCCCTCGATACCACACCTCCACCTCCTGCAAGTAAGCTGAAAAGACTCTCATACTTACCCACTCTGGTAATCCACTTCAACCCAGCTCTAACTCCGCTCTCCTCTCTCCCCAGTGTGACCAATACTTACCTGCCTAGATCCAGTTGTCCTCACGTTCATGCCACGCTAATAGTTCCACGGCTACGTTTCCACACCGCAGTTTGCCACGTCCTTGTGTTTTCACCCATATTATGTATTCACCAATAAATTGTGATAAAACGCCCTCTTGCCTCCGCTCTGTGTGTCTGCGCTTGGGTTCTGTTCAAGTTGCTGGCCTCCGTCCAGCGTGACAAGTTGTCATGCTTAACGTGAGAATTATTTCCAAACTCTTGGAGATGAACTTGCATACCTGTTTGTAATTGCCTGGGATAGCTTCCTCCGAGATGAAATGCCGGTTTGGCAGCATGTAGCGAGGCTCTAAATGCTCAATTAAGCGTCAAAAACCATCATTTTCCACAACAGAAAGGGGCTGGTCATCAAGCACAACAAATTCAACTATTTTCTCCGTTATCAGCTTCGCTCTATTGCTTTCCGGAGGGAATTTCTCACGTCTCTGAATATTTTCCAAAAGCGTTTTTTGATACAGTACACTTTTCTGCTTAGCTTTGGAGGCCAGGCTAAATTCCGTGTCCCCCTTTGCGTGGTGTTTCTGTAAGTGTTTAATCATGTTTGTGGTGTTAAAATTCCCCAAACTGCTACCACCTCGCAAAACACTTGCATCGCATGAGTTGCATTCGGCAGTCTTGCTTTTTTCATCTTTTAGTTTGAAATATGTCCACACTGCTGACATGATGGCTCTCAGCTCTCCCACACGATAGCCGCTCGATCACGTGACACAAACTGCTCTGACGTGCTAAGGTCATGACCTGGGTTATACCATGTTAGCAAGTTTTTGAGGTGCTTCTGTGATATTTACTGGATCGGATAAAATTTTTAAATTTCTCTCCGATATCCGATCCAGTAATTTACATCAGTATCCGACCGATACCAATACTGAATATCGGATCGGTCCGTCTCTAGTTTAAATACACAAACAAAACACGTATGCTTTCAATTGTGTAATTTAAGTGATCTAGGTAGCTAGATGGCACTGTTTATGTGATGGCATGCCACATCTGGCCCGATCATGGTTTGGTTTTGGTTGGCCCAGGCTCATAGAAAACAGGTCTAGCCCGAATCTGGCATCAAGCTGGCAGTTCTGACTGACTGGTGTGATGGCAGGGTGTCTGTCAACCAGATGTGGGCCAGGTCTGGCAATGATGGCACGATTTATGTTCCTATTTTCCTATTTTAGTTAGAAGACCCAAATGCCATGCTGCAATACTATAATGTTATGGAGCCAATGTTTCAAATGCAGGTTTGACAGGTTTGTGAGTGTACACTTTATCCAAAGCCTAGTGAGGGTTTACTCATGTTTACCACTGAGTGGCTGTAGTGAAGAGGTAGAGCAGGTCACCTAGTGATCGGAAGGTTAGTGGTTCGGTCCCTGGCTCCTCCAGTCTGCATGTCAAGAGTGTGAATATGTATGAATGTAGTTAGGCAGCACGCAGTTTAGAGAAAGTGTGTGGTTGGGAGAATGTGGCATGTTGTATAGAGCACTTTGAGTAATCTGGCAGAGTAGAAAAGCGCTATTAAGAATCAGTCCATTCACTGTCTGAACAGAGTTTCGTCATGTTACTTTTGTACTATTATGTTCCGGCACATGTCGTTATTACATGGCTTGATTAAGGTACACATTAGGCTGACATCTGGGGCCAGAGCTGAAACTGTTCTGGGCCAGCACAGG